CCCTGGACAGGAGATAGTCTGGAGAGCGGCCAAGTCCCTGTGGTTGGAAAGAGAACCCTGGTGGCCCAAGGTGTCACTGAGCACTGTACTGGGCTGCGGCCTTGCTGAGTTCCGTGACGGCAGCGGCAAGGTAGACTGTGGTGCGCAACAGCTTTACTGGATTTTGATGTCCGAATCCACTTACACCATTTGAAATGATTGGGTGATCAGGTGGGATGGAGAGCCGGCCTCGGAGGAAGAGATCATAAATAAGTGGAAATTTGCAGTTAACTACCAACTACAAATGGACAAACTAATGGCAAATAGGCCGCACAAAGGGAAACACCCCATGCTGGCGCCAAAACTGGTCATAGAGACCTGGTCCAATATCCTGGACAACGAAGAGATCTTACCGGCCGATTGGCTAAAGGAGCCCAGAGTTTTAGTGGGTAGCTGTGCTTTCCCTCAAACCCCGACCTGGCAACAAAATAGCCATGGAATCGGGTAGCGCGGTAGTCCCACACTGCCCTAGGGCGTGCAGAACACATTTCTCTGGGTGGTGAAAACCACTATCTCGTGGAATTAACATTCCATACTCTACTAAACAGTCGGGCTAACCTATAGTTAGTTGCTGCTGTCGAACGTACCACCAAAAAAAAAAAAAAAAAGATAGTGGTGTTCTAGTGTTGATTTCATGTATTTCTGATACTCATTTGAGTATTTGTGATATATCTTTCACCTGCAGGATTATAGTCAGCATTTCAACAGGCAAAACCCTCTAATCAGAGGGTGTTTTGAACTTGTGCACCCAGGTTTGAACCTGATGCAGTGCACCTGTTCATAGAGCCAAAGATAGCATAACAACTGTCATGGGAAGTGAAAAGGGTGTGCCAAAACACAAGTGATGGCAGAATTATAGAATGAAATGGGTGCTTTTATGACACACTTGGTGGGTGCTGGATCCAGGGGTAGCAGTGAGAGATTGTTATCAGATGGCTATCATCTTTTGATGTATGTATTTGATTAAAATAGTGTTGTTTCTTACAGACGGATACTGGAACACTGGAAGGCTTGTAACTTTGTAACCTATAAAGGCTTGGTCCTTCGACCTTTGAACTACCTTCACTGTTCCACATGTTTGGCATCTATGATCTCTTCAGAGATTAGTATGAGATCAAATTTCACCAATTATTCTTACTTTCATGGGATTTCATCGAATCATAGTCCAAAGTCTACAGTTTTTAGCAGGTCGGAAGTTGTCAATTGAAATGTGATAGTCTGAAGTCTTAAGTCCGATTGATCTCAGCATTTCTTGGCAGGACGCTGACAGGAATATTCCCATGCCTTCTTATATTGTCTTTGTGCCTCCGGCTCACCTGCGAGAACCATCTGAGGCATTTTAGAACTGGGATACTCATCCAAAGCATATTATGTCAGTCAAATATTCTTTTTGGGTACATCCAACTGATCATGAAGCAGCGTACATCCTATAATTAGATGATTTTTTTATTTGACTCGCAACGTGGATGCTGGATCTGCTTTCAAAATATCCAGGGGTCTTTTATGGATCACTTTTCTATTGTGGGTCTGGTTGAACCCTGTTTTGATTCAAAAAATCTTGATATCTCGTGTCGGCCATTTCACCTGAAGTGTCATTGTGATGTTAAGATGTTGATTCTCTTGAAAGAAGTGGAAACCCCAACCAGCCTTCATATTTTTCAATGAACTAACATCCAGGACCACAAAGCAACCTCTGAAAGGCAAAATTGTTGAAAACAGTCAAATTAGCCCATTACCGACCCATCAGGTGTAATAGTAAGCGAAGCGTGTGACATATGAAAATGATCCAAGCTCCCTTGCTAAGGTTACGTGATCCTGGCCAAAGAGCATATATATCGGGTGGGATCCAGTGATGGATTTTCCACCTCATTTCTTGCTGGCCCCCCGTGTGTGCTGCAGTGGTGGGCAGACTGTATTCAGCCCCAGTGTGTGTGCCAATCAGTGTATCAACACTGTGGCCTTGTGCCCCAGTCTCTGACACTAGGGCCTGTGCCACAGCTATTGGCACATCTTGCCCTGAGCTCCAACTGCATCCGCTGAGCACATAACCATGAAGGCTCCTTGGTCACTCATGAAGGCTCATAGAATCCCTTACACACCCCATGCACACCTGGACACCAGAGCCCAAACGCGTGCGCAGGGTACCGCTATGTTGACAACATGGCCAGGTCCACCCCCCACCGAATGTAAGTCAGAACTGCATCAATTCTTCTTCGTTTTGCAGCATCCAAAGCTCATATCTCTCCGTCAGAAGCCCCTGCACCCTACCCTCATGCGCACCCAGACACCCGACACAAAACATGTGCCCACATGGTCTTGCTATGATGGCATCATGCTCAAGCACAATCCCACCAAATGTAAGTCAGAATTGCGTCAATTCTTCGTCGTTTTGTGGAATCTTCATTGGAACCCCTTGAAGAGGATGTCCTGCACGCCCATGCCAGGAGTATCGTCCTTATCGAGACAAGATTTTGGATGGCAATTTCACTGCTCTGCTATTTCGCTATTCTCTAGTTAGTCTATGTGTTTCTTCTCTCCGCGAGTGTTTTGAGGATTGTATTTGCATGTCCCAGTGGCTGGAGTAGGTCGTGTCTCAGTTGAATGCAGGTGCCATCGAGGATAGAAGCAGCCACAGGCAGAGAGAGCCATGCAGATAGATGTTGGGTCAGCTCGGGTCGGCTCAGCCAGGAGGGCGTGCCCTTGCAGTGGGCGCATACAATCCACACTTGAGTGTGGCGGCAGCGACATATGTGGAGATGTTATGGACCTGTAGTGCGAGGGCGTGGATTCGGTGTGTAATGGGCTGGATTCAGCAGAGGGAGGAGTATGTGTATGGTGGTGGTTATATCTTGTTGTGGTCATGCTTGTCTTGTACATGTGGTGCTTGTACTTGCCCGCGTGCTGCCCATTTTGCCCTTGGCGTGCTCTCATGCTTCCTTCTTCCCCTCCTCCCTTGTTCTCCCTCTTCCCTCTCATATTCTCCTCCCCAGCACTGAAGAGCCTGCCCAGTGAGGCTCTGAGCACTGTGAGGAGAATCTTTAAGGTTTCAGGCCGCTTTACCTCTTTTCACAAACCACAACTTCCCTGAGTTAGGTCCCGAGAATTTTTTCGAGGACAACATTCCAGCTGTGAAACGGATGCGGAGGAAGGTTACCCAGGGCAGGGTGAAAGTCCCACTCCTGTCGCCAGACTGCCGCCAACTGCCACCACAAAAATGCAAATTGCCATCAACATGGCGGCACTGTTGGCGGCAGTTTGGTCACACTGCCGCCATGTCACGCTTCTGCCGCCCTCAACTGCCAGGAGTGAGTACAGTTTTATACCCACTTAGATAATAATAGATACAGTGTGCCTTGTCGCTCTATTTGATTGATACTAACTACAACCTTGATGTTTATTCTTGATCCCGGGCCTGCCGCTTCTGGGCACATTCGGGGGAGTGGGTTTCGGATTCCATTTCTCCCACGCTTGCGTGGTTTCTGGGGTTCATCATCCCCAAGATCTATTTCTCGCATAACTCCCACATCACTTCACCTGCTACAGAAGAGACTGCCCGATGGCAATATTACCTTGCCTTCTTGAGGTATGATTTTTTTCTGGATTTTCTTGATCTCTTGAATGCCTTTGTGTGGACACGAAGGTTCAAATAGGGGGTGAAATTTCCCATTTGGGAAGTTAGCAACACACGGGCCGAGATCAACATACTACAGAGTTCCGAGTACGTTCTACATCAAAAGTACAGAGTACAGAGTAGGATTAAATAGCGAAAAATAATCCCATAGATTAGTGCAGTTGATTTCCTCCTTGTGTGAGGGACTGGTCATGAGGTGGGAGCAACAGCAGAGCGGCAACAAGGAACGTTTGGCCTATAGAGTACAGGACAGTACATAGGCAAACAGATAAAAGAGCATGCTACGGCGATGTGTAAGCTATATGTAAGGGACCCACATTGATCTCCGTGAGTCGGACCATGATGTCTGTGAGTGTGTAAGCTTGTACATAACTCCAGATCTCAACACCTTGCTCCTATTTACATACTATTCCACCTGTGTCTTTGTCATAGAGAGTTGCACCTGTGATATGCAGAGTCCCAGGGGTTTACCTACATGTGCACAACTAATTCTGTGTTCCTGTATTCAATGGTAGTATCTGTCATTCTGACTCATCATTTAGTGGGAGGTAAATACAGAAGGCAGCTGGGATAACATACCTATTTTAGGGTCATTGCATACCCTCACCCTTCTCACATCAAGAGAATATGCAACTTACATCAAATTTGCAGGGGAATGGTCTTTCTCCCAAGTGCAGCTTGATGTGGGTCACAAGGTTGCTTCAATCTGTGAACCTGCTGTCACAGCCCTAAAGCCATCTGAGTTGTGTAAAGTTCAAGTCATGATATACAATGTACATCAAATTCACATGGGTATGGTTTTTCTCCTGAGTGCAGCTTCTCATGGCATGCAAGGTCTGGTAGGTGTTTGAAGCTCTTGCTACACTCTGAGAGACATGTCAGTCGTGTAAAATCAAAGTCAAGAGAATATACAACATACACTGAACTCATACAGGAACAGTCTGTTGTCCAAATGCACCTTCTCGTGGTGTCTGAGGAAGGCAGCCTGCTTGAAGCTCTTGCTACACCCCTAGAGACATGTCAGTTGTGTAAAGTCAAAGTCGAGAGAATCCTCCAAGGCTTTCCTGGCTCAGTTGGTTAGAGTGTCAGTCTCATACATATGGGGAATTAGTGGATTCTCTCCAGACTTATTCTGGTTCCTGACCTCTGCAGGACACTCTGGTCCCTCTCTGGCTCAGTATATAACATTGAGTTCAATTAATCCAGGAGTTTGCAAGTAGTTACTGAGCAATATTTCACCATTACTCACCACTCAGTGCTTTTATGAATTGTGTAATGATGGTGATCATAGTAGTGTCATGTGGATATTTGACAAAAATAGGCAAAAAAGTGCTCCCCGTGAGGATCGAACTCACGACCCCCAGATTACAGAATCCACTGATTCCTCATTACCTATGAGACTGGTACTCTAACCAACTGAGCTAGGGAAGCATTTTTGCAGCCCCATTATAATCCATCTCAGCCCAGGTGGGATACTTTCAGGAATATTTCAGGTGCACTCTAAGGTTGCGGCCTTATTGGGCAAGGGGTGGGGTGTGTGTGTGTGGAGGAATCCAATTGTAAAACAGTGAGTCCATTATTCAACAAACAAACATGTTGGTGTTGGTCAAGTTTGTTGAATACATACTTGTTGAAATAGAGCAAACAGATCCAATTCTTCAGCAGTATAAAGCCAGCAGCATGCTCAACCAAGTCCCTTGAATTATATATAAAGCAGTGGAGAGTATCACTTTATCTGCACAAAACATTTTCAATAGCATAGATTAATATTTCTTGACAGACCCTCAAGCCTTAGTTGGAGAAATGAATGTTTGACAAATGTAACACTTGTCAGGTTGGTGGTGAATGTGACAAGGCCACTGGGCATGTGCAGGCAGCTCAGAATCCTGGCTATGTTGACTAGCTTGGATCTTTCTAACAAAACATTGTGCTCTAATAACCTGTTGTCCTTTTGTCACTTACTTGTTCAGTCTTTCATACTAAACTGATCCTATACCTCCAAAGCAATGATGCTTCTAGTGTATGTAATCACTCATCCATCTAGATGCAAGCATCTAGCTTCTGCATTCTGCATGCTGGCAGCTAGCTTACTTAGCCATAGCATGGGGAGGCTGGCTTTCAAAGCTTGCCTTGCCAGCTGCTGCTGCCTGCCCTCACCAGACTCTGAGGGCTGTGGAACTCTATGGAGGTGCTGAGCTGCACCAGCTAGCTGGTTATCCACATGGTCCATAGCTATATCTGTTGAGGCCTTGCTGTGGCTAGCAGCCCTCTGAATGCAGTGAGACTTGCAAAGTTCCACTCAAGAAGGAAGCTCCTTGGAACTGTTCTGACTTGCCAGTCTTACAGCTGGTCTCTAGCTTAGAGCCAGTCAATCCTGGTTTGGCCACCATGAGGATTGAAAGATTACAACAATAACACTGTATTTAAAAACTTGAGCATGCCAGGAAATGAATTAATCAGCAGCATGCCAGCCTCCAGCCTGTGATACAAATCAACATCTGTCAGCTGATACAGCAGTAGATAGATATAAAATGTATGCACTCATTATCTACCCTCAGTCTTTGATCCCACATAGCAGAAGACAGAAGACTGAGATTTACAGGTATTTAATATACAGTCTTTGATCCCACATAGCGGGAGACTGAGGTTCTTGCACCTTCTGTGCATTTACAGATTGTGTTAGAGCATACTGTCCTACTGTATATTTTTTTTGTGGCATGGTAGGTCCTTTCCTGGCTTAGTTGGATAGTGCCAGAATGACAAATAATTAATGCACCTGACTACAGAGGTCACTTGTTTCTGGGCTGACTTTATGAATATGAAACCACCCAACTCCAGTATTTTTCAAGACTATAGTGTTGAGAAACTGAATTGACACCGGGGGCAAAAAGCCACACATGTGGCACCCACATGCTTTAGATGCATGTGGTCTGCAGGTATGTGTGACAGGTAACAAACATCTTTGTTAGATTCAAAGGATTCGGTAACTAACTACTAAGTACAATGTATTTAGTTAGTGTATATCCAATAGATAGTTAAAGAAAATTTATGTGCAACTTAAGAGGAATTTTGAGGGGAAATGAGCACAAGCTGCAACTCCTACACATTGCAGGCATGATGCAGCAGTGTGTCAGCCACCCATCTCATGCCCCGCATGGCATGCCCAAGGGGGAACCTGTCGTGATTGATCCCCAGGGTCTTTGTCAGCAGGCAATTGCCTCCATACACTGGCAAAGCCAGTGTACAACCCTACCCACATGACACCTTTGTTGATGCTGGACCCTGTAGCATGATCTGCCCATCGCACCCCTATGCCAATGAAGGCCTGGGAGTGTGCTACAATGTGGTGTGCACCCAGAATGACAATATTGCATGATACTGAACTGGATTGCTCACTGGCGACCAACTTTTGGCAAAACTCAAGTGGAAAGTGGGGTATTCGTGCAACTGGGGGCATCTCTTCATTTGCCTCCTGCTCATCAGGACTCTCAGAACACCTCAACCAGCTCAAATAACTCTGCCAGGGCTGGAAGCATGTCATCGACCTCTGCAAATGCGGAGTTCGCCATTGCAAATATTTCGCATTCTCCTCAGTCGGCGGCTTTGCACAGTTCAGCTCATGATGGAGGTTGTGACTTGCATGGACGAGGATGCTGACTATGTTTTTTTCACTCCTTCTTCCTCCACTTGTGATATATACGACCTCATTTTGAGTTCTTGACTTATTTACTGTACCTACTCGTGTTTTTTTTGGACCTTTCTCCTTACTGTACCTGCTCACATGTCAGTTGACACTCTGTAACTACTGTATTACTCTTGTATCTACTTTACATCCCGCATCTTTCTATTGTATTTTTTTTTGCTCATATTTACCTCTTTCTTTGCCAAGATCATGACACCACAGATTCAGGTTACATGTGGAGGGCAGGGCTGATGAAGAAAGAAAGAAGTTGGGCTGCCAGCAGGGGTTTTGGGAAGCAAAGGAAGGAGGAACCTGGGCTGCCCTGTACCAACAAAAATGACAGACAGCATGTGGTTGGGGTCCAGCATTGACAAAGGTGTTATGCAGGTGGGGTTGTACACCAACAAAGCCAGTCTACAGAGGCAATTGCTTACTGACAAAGACCCCGGGGATCAAGCACAATGGGTTCCCACTTGGGCACACCATGGAGGGTGTGGGATGGGCAGCTGGTGTGCTGCTGTGTCATGCCTGCAGTGTGTGGGATGGGTGTGGGGTGTGCCACTGTGTAATACCCACAGTATGAGCCAGCAAGCACTCGGAATTGAGCCAGCAAGGGCTGGCTTGATTCTGAATTCCTCTTAAGTTGCACATAAATTTTCTTTAACTATCTATTGGATATACACTAACTAAATACATTGTACTTAGTAGCTAGTTACCGAATCCTTTGAATCTAACAAAGATGTTTGTTACCTGTCACCTGCCTGCAGACCACATGTATCTAAAGCATGCAGGTGCCACATGTGCAGCTTTTTGCCCCTGTTTTGAATGGCCTTGGTAGTGGCTTGAAAGTTTTTTTCTTTTCTTTTCTTGCATGATCAAGTTCCTGGTTCAGTTGGATAGCTGCCACTGTTGGACAGGCACCATTGAAATAACATAGATGCATTAGGCAAAACTGCTCTATTTTGTTTTTCTTCAAGAAGAAAAACTGGACACCCTGGAAAGAACAAAACTGCACATCCCAGTCTTAAACATATGACCACCTAATTTCACACTTTGTTTCAAAGCTGCAGCATTCAAGAACACACTCTAGGTGCCCTGACAATAGCAGTGAATATTAGAGTGTCTAGGCCCTAGCCCTTCCTGGCTCCACAGGACAGAAGTTGGGGTGCCTCCCTGGCTCTGCTGGATAGTTGTTTGGGCTGCTCCCTGGCTCTGACACCCCCCAAAACAGCCAGTCAAGACAACTTAGGTTAAAGGTTGTGAGTTCAACCCTCACCGAGAGCAGTTTTTGCACCTTTTTAGAGGTCTCAAATACTGTTAGCATTGACCAAGAAAGCTCATAAAGTATTAGCTGATTTACATGCTCATTGGTAAGGTTACCTAGTCTCCTATAGGTGTCTCTTTAGTCTTGTGGAAACCTATACAGACTGTAGATACATGCAGAGCATAAGTCTAGTCAGATTTCTTTCTGTATTCAGATCAGCAGACAGATTCTTATAGATAGAATAAGTGTCACTGTTATATACCGAGCCAACACAGAACTAATATTCTTCTGGTATGCAGAAGGCTCTTTGGAAGTGGCAAAGAGTGACTCCATTTAAAATATGCAGCAAGTGTGCAGACAAAGGGCAATAAATCACTAAAGTTAATATATAAGCAAGCATGAGAAGTCAAAAGTGGCCTTTGCCCAATTTTAGGTAGTAGGAACATGTGTGCAGGGTCAACAGAGTCTTACTTGTGTGACAAAAAACTTGAAGGGCTCCCTGAGGTGCTTTGAAAGAATTATAAGCTGTAGTATGGCAGTGTGATGCAGACCTGCCTAGGTAGTTAAACTGACCTCAACTTGAGGCAGCAAGGTGACATTGGCAGGCCTCCATCTTTCTTGGCAACAAAATGTCTAAGTGGTGCCAAGACAGCCTAGACTATCATGATCTAGACACATATGCCCAAATAGGCATATATATGTGGGCCTCCATCTTTCTCGACCACCATGTGTTGAGAACCTGGCTGAATGCAGTGTATGGACCCCCTATACCTCTGTTTCATACCTTTGGGAGGTATCACTGGAGGTTTAGCCCAATAGTCTAAATATGGTCTAAATAGCTTTGTTGGACACAGTATAAACATAGGTTGGCTTGTTGGATCAAGTAACATACAATGAATACTGTCTTCACCATCTGAAAAATAATATTCCAGCAAAACAAAACACCTTTGCTGATAGTTGAACTTGAGGCTGGTATATTAGTGTACCTGAATAAAGTAGTGCTCTGGAAGGTCAAGAATATGACTGCCTGAAAATTGGGCACATAAGATGCCTAGAAGGCTGCCCTGAACACTTGAGACTCATACCTCTCGGTACCTCTGTACCTTGAGAGGTTGGGGACCATTGGAATGATAAGATTGGCATCGAATTGTGACATTACCCCCCCCCTAGGGTCGACGTCCTCATCGACTGTTGTGGATCGTGTATACTCCTCGACTCCCGGGAGAGTAGGGAATTTCTCCAATATGTTAAAGCGACCTGTGACTGGGTCGAATATTTTATGTTGGGGATAAACCAGCGCCTCCTCTTTTGCTTGGAAGTGCTTGATTAAATAATCCCACGATCCCTGTTTAAAGACTGGGACAGTCTGTTTCTTCGTTGAGTTTCCGGACTCCTCCGTTTTTGGTGGCATTAAGCCCTTTTCACGTAAATGTGCAGCCAGCACCTTCTTCTCTTCCTCGTTCATCCTGTCCAATTCGGCTAAAA